ATAGAAAAATGAAAAGAGGGTACAAATAGTTTTTGACTTATAGAACCCTGAGTTCTAGCTTTAGTAAATGTTATTGCTTTCAAATAAGTTTATTATATAAAAATAAATTTATTTATTTGCTTGCTTTTAAGAGAAAACCATAATCAGCAATCAGCATTTTCTCATGGATTTTATGAGAGAAAGAAAGAGAGAGAGAGAGAAAGAGAAAGAGAAAGAGACAGACAGACACTAGGGAGGGAGGGAGAGAAATATCGATGTGAGAAAGTCACATTGATTGGTTACCTTGGTTGCCTCTTGCATGTACCCTGACTGAGGCCTAGGTGTGAACCTGCAATCCTGGTAAGTGTACTTAACCAGGAATTGTGGGCCGATGTTCTAACCTCCTTGCAACACTGGCTGGGACTGCTTATATATTGTAATAGCTGTCCTACTACAATATATGGATGTATAGTGATTAATGTAAAGTATTTAAAAGTTTTAGTAGAATTATTACAAATATTTTTTCTTTCAATGTTTATGTTGATAGGTTCTTCTTGACATCTTGTCCATATGTTTATCTTTGCCGACAAGTGCTTTTGAGCATCAGTGGTGTTTGAACATTGTCTCTCATTTACATGAGGAAATGCCACTTTGAGAAGATTCCACCTTACAACTTGATTCATAGAGTTAAGTTCTCTCTCTCTCCTATCTAGACTCTTCTGATTGGGAAGCTGGAATTTTGGTACATTGAATTCCTGTCCATTCATTTTCCTAGCTTTTCCACACTCAGGTCCTGTTCATTCCTTCTAGCTTTTGGTGTGCAGGGGCCTTATCCATTCATCATTATAGCTTTGGCAGCTTGGTGTACGGAATTTCTCCTGTGCCATATTGCCCATTTAAGGAGGCACCCTGTTGCTCTGATTGAGTGTCTAAGGTAACACTACTGATCATTGCTCCAAGATACCTTCCCTTTTCCGAAAGGAAGAGAAACCTGCAGTCTCAGCTCTCTCCTGGTTTTGCTTCTGATTTCCATACTTGATCCAGATTTAGACTGGAGAGCTTTTCTAAACTCATAGTCACTGCCACTCAGTAACATTTCTTTAGCCTTCAACTCCCTTTCATTCCCAGTTGTCTACTGGGAATCATATATATTGAATATCTGATAGTTTTATCTGAAACTGAATATTGTTTTTTGTCCCAAAGTTGGTCCTGTGCTTGCCTTTGCCCAGTTACCCACACCACAAACCAAGCATCTCAGATTCATCCCCTTTCATGCTGCCGCCCACTCACCATGTAACAAACTCTTTTAAATAAGTCTCTGTCTGTATTTTAACAATTATACATTTTAATTGTCTTTTCACTCCACTGGGCTTTCCATTAATTTAGACCTTCATGACTTCTTTATTATCACACAAACGAGCTAGGAGTGTTTACCTTTTTGTCCTTTATTCTTGAAACCTGCAGAATAAATGCAACTTAAATATATGTGCATTCAAGGGTGAAGCCTCTTTTGGATAACCCCAATCTCTTAAAATTCTCTCAAGTGAGAATTATACTAGCTAACATTGTTTGAGTACTTGCTATTTTCAGGAACTATTCTGAGCAATTTGTTATAATTAAAGAAGATAACAGATAACACTTATCATATGCCGTCCAGTACTAAGACTTCTGTTAAAAAAAAACTGCTCAGGTTTACACAACTGGTAAATTGTGTAAACTGGACTCACCTTGGGGAACCAATTCAAGATTAGCAACCTCATGGTGGAGTGTACCGCAGGTGACAGGATACATGTGTCTCTATCTCCACTGTTCAGGTCTTCTATTTTCCTGTGAGATAATAAATGACAGGAAAGTACAGGCATTGCTTTCCTCAAATGTATTTCCCTAAAAATTAAGTTTCCAAACTTTTTGTGTTTGGCTTAATCCATTAGATGTCATTTTATTTAAAAAGATTTGCATTAAATTTCACTCATAAAGCGATTTGTGGATTGGGGGAAATGTTTAACTTGTAACATTTCTTTTACTTGTGAAATACAAGGGATAAATGATTTGCACACAATTAGTATTTATTCTCTGCTTTCCTTTTGAAAAAACATTACTAAAGAGGTTATACAGTTGAAGAGTTGTTATAATGAATTTAATTATTTGTTTTCTGAATAACCCTGCCAACTGATTAAAATTAACCTAATTTAATCAGTATTGTATTCCATACTAAAGGTAATTTAGGCTAATGTCAAGAACATTTTTATCTTTGTAGAAGGTATTGAAATAACTAATGTCACAAAAAAAGAAGTCAGAAAATGTTTGAAGTTTTCCTTCCTTGCCTCTGGGATTTTGTAAAGCTCAATTTTCCTTTTTGCATGCAGATTAAACTGAAAGGCATTTTGTAATATAACATTAGCACTTTTCACCATTTCTTTGTTCAGTTCTTTATTTGTATCATGGTGGACTCACAGATACTTAGTTTATTTCTGGGTTATGATTTATTTAGTTGTTCACAGGTTATCCCAGCTTTGGCCATTGGGATCCTCTTCAGGTTGTTACCCAATTCTCTTTGATGTGCCTCCATCATTTTTGAGTGCATCACATGAGTCCAAGCTCATCATGTTTTCTATCTGCCCCAGTCCTGGAGCTATTTTTCTAAGGAGCCTAGTTTATTTATTGGAGAATGGTAATAGAAACCAAGATCTGGGTACTTGTGTTCATTGGTACTGGGTGTTATTGATTCTATCGGGTCCAGTAATAATTAATGTCGTTTTCCAACATTCGTTTAAAATCTTGCTTGGCGTTGACTTGTATTGACATAACCTTCAAACACGTGGTATCTACAGAACGTGTGAAGTGCAATTAACAAGTTTTGCTTGAAAAAGTTTGTGTTTGGTTTGGTTTTTGTTGCAAAACTAGGGCTAAGAAGATGGCGGATGAAGAGCATATTCGGCACTGCATGCTTTACGAGTTCCAATTAGGAAGAAAAGCAAGTGAGGCTGCAAAAAACATCTGTAGTGCTCTTGGTCAAGATGCAGTTAGCGCCAGAAAATGCCAGCGTTGGTTTGAGAAATTTCGCTAGGGAAATTTTTCGTTAGATGACAAGAGTGGTCGAGGCCATGTGTCCAAATTTGATCAAGAAGCTCTTCAAGCTCTTTTGGTGCAAAATCCTCAAATTACCCAACAAGAGCTTGCGACAACTTAAAAAAAACAATTTCCAATCAATTGCGTGCACTTGGCAAAGTCCAAAAGTTTGGAAAATGGGTTCCTCATGAGTTGACCGACAACAACCGTAATCAAAGAGTCACAATTTGCAGTTCGCTCCTCTCTCGTCAAAACCATTTGCCGTTTTTAGAGCAAATTGTTACAGGAGATGAAAAATGGGTGCTGTATGTTAATTTGAAAAGGCGGCCTCAATGGTTGGACAAAAATGAGGCTCCGCAGCCCACGCCAAAACCTGACTTGCATGTGAAAAAAGTGATGTTGTGTGTTTGGTGGAATTTTAAAGGAATTCTTCGTTATGAACTTTTACCATCTAACCAAACCATTACAAGTGCAGTGTATAGTGCCCAATTGGAAAGGTTAGCCCAAGCTTTAAGAGAAAAAGAACCCGTGCTGATTAATCGGAAGGGCGTAATTCTTCACCACGATAACGCACGACCGCATACTGCAAGAATCACTGCTAAAAAACTGCGCCAGTTGGAATGGGAAGTTCTCCCTCAACATGCATATTCTCCTGATATTGCCCCTTCCGATTACCATTTGTTTCGTTCTTTGCAAAACTTTCTTCTTGGAAAAAAATTTAATAATGAAGAATGCCTCAAAAATGCATTGACCGAATTTTTTGCATCAAAATCACAAGAATTTTACAACAGAGAGATTAAAATGCACAAGTAGTAGAAAACAACGGCAACTATATTGTTGATTAAATTTTGTTGTATTGTTTAAATACATTCGATTTAAAAAAGTATTAGAAAACAACATTAATTATTACTAGACCTAATAGGATCTGGTAGTAGATGAAACTAAGAAATACATTTTTTTTTTTTTTTGCCACACATGCATTAACATCCATTTATACTCATCTGTCAGTCGACTTACCTACTTACCTACCTACCTACCTACTTATAAAAACCATGAGTTCATATTAATGCTTTTAGTTCTAACCTAATATCAAAGAGTGCATTTTCTTATTTGTATCTTTAGTTTTGACAGTAAGAATTTGGCTCCCATTATCCCAAATATTTTTCTTTTTCATTTATTGCTGGTGTGTGTGTGTGTGTGTGTGTGTGTGTGCGTGCGCGCGCGCGCGTGTGTGTGTGTGTGTGTGTGTGCTTGCACGTGAGCATGGTAATAGTAGTGGTTATGGTCTTAGTAGTGTGAGAATTTATAAACTATACACTTGTAAGAAATAAATTTACTAACCAGAATACAGTTATTTCTAAGGCAGTTCTTATTGTCATTTGCTTCACATTAAACAGTGAAAAAGTTTTTCAAAGTCACTCAGTTTATATCTTCCCTAACACCTTCAGTTGGTTGAATTTTTCATTGGTAACATATTAGGTTTATTTGTATTCCATTTTAGATTATCCTGCTCTGTGGTTGATTTCAATTATTTATTTGTGTTTTAGGTATTTGGATTATTATGATGGTTCTGAGAGCCACTTACAGAAGTATCACTGCACTAGTATTTCCATTATCATTATCATTCTTTCTCTACCTCTCTTTCACCCCTATTTCTACTAACTCATTGTAGGCAATAAATTTCATTTTATATCTTTCCTACATTTCTATCTCTCTTAGTATTCTGTGACATTAAAACATTTTTATTGTTTTTCACCCATATAATTTTGGATATGAAATGCACAACTTAGAAAGGAAAAAAGTAAAGCATCAAAATTCAGGGAAAGACAATTTCTTGAAGTTTTGCTTCCTAAAACATAACATTGCTAGTAGTATAAATATCAGTACTGCTTCTTTGTCAGAGTAATGGAAATGCCTTGGTATATAATATCCCCTTTACCTTTCTTTTCCAGCTGGTAGCAGTGTTTGATGAACAAGATCCACATCATGGAGGTGATGGCACCAGTGCTAGCTCCACAGGCACCCAGAGTCCAGAGATATTTGGCAGTGAGCTTGGCTCCAACAATGTTTCAGCCTTTCAGCCTTATCAAGCAACAAGTGAAATTGAGGTCACACCTTCAGTCCTTCGTGCAAGTAAGCGACAGTTCTTTCTTTAATGCACATTTTATCTTAAATTACAGGCATGCCAACTTTTATTATCCAGCCATGAACCTGTGAATGGGATTTTATAGAAATAGTTTTTATAAAAATTGATTAAGTTTATAATCAGAACAAATGTATTTTGCAAAAGAAATAGGCAAGGTTCTTTACATTTACATAGATTGTTCTTATTTTACTTTGGACTGGTAGACTTTTAATTGTTCACTAAAAGTATATATTTAAAAGCCTAATATGCTAAGTGTCTGACCACTCAGTTGATCGTTCGACCAGTTGCTATGATGCGCACTGACCACCAGGGGGCGGACACTTTGACAATAAGTCAGCTTGCTGCTGTGATTTGGCTGATTGGGACTAGGTGAGAGGGGCTTGACACACCCTGGAGTCAACCTCTCTCAGTGGTCCCTCCCCAGCCTCTAAAATATTTCTTCTAATGAATTTCTTTTAGTGTGCACACATTCATGCATTGGGCCTCTAGTATTAGTAGAAGAGTTAATTTCCTGAATTTTTCTTTCATATAGTTCTAACAGAAATAACTAAAGAGCTTTACATTGAAATAAAATATAGCATGTTTGATTGCCAGTCAACTTGGTTATAACCATTACTTGAACTTTGTTGAACAGGAGGAGAGACCTCAAGGCCATAATTATCTTCAGAGATCTGGAAGAGATGTATTAGAATGCCATCTCAAGGAAAGAAAACATAGGATAGAGAGAGTTTATATTAGGAATCCTAGGACCCAGAGTACGGTAGTTCCAGTACACTTGCTTGAAGAATTCTGTCAGTCATTCTTAAAAGGTTACTCAGAAAAGTGAGTAACTTTGCTGGAAAATATGTTTAGGTTTTTTTTTTTTTTTTAATTGTATAATCTTACTAGATGCCAGTGCATGAAAATTCTTGCACTGGAGGGGGGTCCCTCCACCCAGCTTGCCCCCTCTCACAATCTGGGATCTATCAGGAGCAGAAAGCAACCCGGCATTCAGGGGAAAGTGACACCCCCATCATGCCTCTCCTGCTGCCACTGCTGGCAATGCAAGTGTCAGCCACCGTCTGAGGCTTGCCTGTGCCTTGGGCTGGCCCTGGGTGGATGAGGGGACTGAGGGACTCAGGTGCTCAGAGTATTGTAGAAATAATATTTAATTATAGTACATAAATAATGTTACTAAAATTTTTCATGTTGAATTTTCTTGGGGCAAAATATTTTAAAAGATGAGGCTTAAACTATGTATAGTATACTAGATAATATATAAATGGTGTACAGGTTACCTTATTTTGTTTCCTGTTTTTAAAAACATGTTTTATTGATTTTAGAGAGGATAGGAGAGGGAGAGAGATAGAAACACCGATAAGAGAGAAATATCAACATCTGTTGGCTACCTCCTGCACTCACCCTGCTGGGGATTGAGCTTGCATCCTGGGCATGTGCCCTGATAAGGAATTGAACCAGGACCTCTTGGAGCATGGGGTGACATTTAACCACTGAGCAACACATGCAAGAGTAAGCCTTCTTTTCCCTGGCTGCTGGCACTGACTTCCCTCTGGCATCCAAGCCCCAGGCTTCCCTTGCAACCCCAGCTTTATCTGGAAGGATGTCTGGAAGGACATCTGGTCTAATTAGCATATCATGCTTTTATTATTATAGATATACCAACTCATTAAATCTGTGCTTTAATCCTTATCTGCTTAGAATAAGCATGTGTATAAAGTAGATTGCATTTAAATAAAAATTCAATTATACATATTCAAGTACCTGAGGTTTAGAATATAGTGGTTGTATGTGAATAATTACATCCTAATGTACATTATTAAATACAGAATTTTTTTGTTACTGTTACAGTTTTTTTTCTCATCCTATGTAATAAAAGGGTAATATGCAAATTGACCATCACTCCAACACATAAGATGGCTTCCCCCATGTGGTCAAAGATTGCTGCCCTATGTGGACACAATATGGCCACCATAAGATGGCCTGCAGAGGAGGGTTGTTGGGAGTGACCAGGCCTCCAGTGGAGGACAGTTGGGGGAAAGAGGGGGCAGGCCTGAAAAGGGGGAGGAGGGGCAGTTGAAAGGGACCAGGCCTGCAAGGGAGGGCAGTTCAGGATGACCAGGCCTGCAGGGGTAGGCAGTTGGAGGTGATCAGGCCAGCAGTGGAGGGGAGGTTGGAGTGACCGGGCCATCAGAGGAGGGCAGTTGGGGGAGACCAGGTCAGCAAGGGAGAGCAGTTGGGGGCAACCAGGCCTGCAGGGGAAGACAGTTAGGGATGACCAAGCCTGAAGGGGAGGGCAGTTGGGGTTGACCAGGCTGGCAGGGAGGAGAGTTAGGGGCAACCAGGTTGACAAGGGAGTGCAGTTAGGGTGACCGGGCCAGCAGAGGAGGGTAGTTGGAGGCAACCAGGTCTGCAGTGGAGGGGAGTTTGTGGGAGACCAGGCCTGAAGTGGAGGACAGTTGTGGGAGAACCTAGGCCTGCAGGAGAGGGCAGTTGTGGGACCAGGCTCCAGGGGAGGATAGTTAGGGGCAACCAGACTGGCAGGGGAGGGCAGTTAGGGGGACCAGGCTCCAGGGGAGGATAGTTAGGGGCAACCAGACTGGCAGGGGAGGGCAGTTAGGAGTGACCAGGCTGGCAGGCAATCAGGCCAGCAGGGGAGCAGTTAGGCATCTATCAGGCTGGAGAGGAGTGGTTAGGGGGTGATCAGGCTGGCAGGCAGAAGCAATGAGGGGCATTAAAGCAGAGGCAGGGAAGTGGTTGGGAGCCAGCCAGCAGTCTTGGATTGTGAGGGGCCATCTTTGACCACATTGGGGCAGCCATCTTGTGTGTTAGAGTGACATCAATTTACATATTCCTCTTTTATTAGATAAGATGGTACCTATATAATAAAAGGTTAATGTGCAAATCAACCAAATGGTGGAACAACCAGTCACTATGACATGCACTGACCACCATGGAGCAGAGCAGGCACCGAACACAGGAGCTGCCCCCTGGTGGTCAGTGCACTTCCACAGGGGGAGTGCCGCTGAGCCAGAAGCCTTGAGCCAGGCTCATGGCTGGTGAGAGCAGTGGCTGTGGCAGGAGCCCAGGCTGTCAGTTGGACATTGCCTAAGGACTCCCGGATTGTGAGGGGGTGAAGGCGGGGCTGAGGGACACCCCCTTTCCCCACCTAGTGTACCAGGCCTCTAGTTAAAAAACAAAGACTCTAGGAAATGTTACTAGAGTTACCTAAAGGGCCCTGTGGTCAAGTTTAGGCTCCCATTGCCCCAAGAGGGACAATTGAAACATGAATAAAGATAGTAACAGCAGAAAGTTCATGCATTCATAATGATAGTAAGTAAGCAAGTTGTGGAAAAAATGCTAGTGAAACAACTTTTAGTAATTGGAAAACATAAAATCAGCATCTATGGTGCATTTCATTTATAAATGGTATTATTGATTAACCAAATGGTAGATGAGGAGAGGTTTCTTTTTATAGATTTGACTAGAGGCCTGGTGCACAAAATTTGTGCATGGGGGCGGGGGTTGTCCCTTAGCCCAATCTGCACCCTCTCCAATCTGGGACTCCTCAAGGGATGTTGATGATTGCTTATTTAGGTATTGGGCCTAAATGGACAGTCGGACATCCCTCTCACAGTCCAGGACTACTGGCTCTCAACTGCTCACCTGCCTGTCTTCCTGATTGCCCCTAACCGCTTCTGCCTGCCAGCCTGATCACCCCTAACCACTCTATTGCCAGCCTGGTCACCCTCTAACTACTCTGCTGCCAGCCTGATTGCCCCTAACTGCCCCCCCTCCCCCCTGCAGGCCTGGTCACCCCTAACTGCACTTCCTTGCAGGGTTGATCACCCCCAACTGCCTTCCCTTGCAAGCCTGGTCCTTCTCAACTGCCCTCCCTTGCAGACCTGGTGCCTCCCAACTGGCCTGGTGCATGAGTAGTGGCCAGCTGGTTTGCCCTGAAGGGTGACCCAGATCAGGGTGGGGTTTCCCTTGGGTGTGGGGCAGCTTAGGCGAGGGGTTTGTGGTGGTTTGCAGGCCAGCCACAGCCCCTGGCGACCCAAGCAGAGGCCCTGGTATCTGGGATTTATTTATCTTTTACAATTGAAACTTTGTAGTCTGGATTGAAGGCCTGAGCCAACCAGGGCTGCAGAAGCTTGGCTTCCTCTATCACTCAGGGCAACCATAGCCTCCTGTTCTTCCAGCTCAGTGTCTGCTGCCATTTTTGTTGGCATTTATTTACCTTCTACAGCTCAGTGTCTGCTGCCATTTTTGTTGGCATTTATTTACCTTCTATAATTGAAATTTTGTACCCTTGAGTGGAGGCCTCGGCCAGTCATGGTATGTGGAAAGCTTGACTTCCTCCATTGCCAGGGAAACCCAAGCCTCACACCTGTTCTCTGTGGCTGCAGCCATGTTGGTTGGGGTTAATTTGTATACTCATTCTGATTGGCTGGTGGGCGTGGCTGGTAGGTATAGCAGAGTGTGGTTAATTTGCATATCACTCTTTTTATTAGATGGGATGAGTCAGGGGTCCTGTCCCTAAGCAGGTCCGCCTAGACTAGTGTGTGGATTCTTAACTTCATGAAGGAAAGATTTCACCATATGAGTCCAGGTTACTATGAGGGTACATTTGTTAAAGTTGGGGACGGTAAAGCAAAAAGGAAATTAGCATAGAAGAAGCAACAGGATAGCCTAGACTGGTTACTTTGGCTCACTGGGAAGTCAGAGAAAAGGGCGGCTTGAACACATTCAGAAGGTTACCCCAGGATGAGTTGCTGCTGCTCATTGCTTCCCTTGTTATAAGTCTTGTGGGTACCTTTTTAGTTTTGGAGATGCCAGGGGTATGCTGCCCAGATGGAGAATGCAGGCTGGGTTCTTTGTCTTGAAGGTTTTTAGACGTCTCTTATAGGCTGCAATCTTAGGGGAGTTTTTAGGAAAGGGTTTTAGCAGAATATTTATCAGTTTTCTAGGTGTTCTTTTTCAGGATCTT